CCTGCTGAAGAACTTGCCCTCGCTTGTGGTTTGGAATGTAATAGGCAGCAACAGTGTCCTGATACTTCAGGTTGTTGATGTTGCCATCCACTCTGCAGATCTCTCCCACACCCCCATACTGAATGTAATCCCAAACCATGATTTTACCTCCACCGAACTTGACTGTTTTCTGTGTGAATCTTGGGTCCATGCGGGTTCCAATAGGTCTTCTGCAGTATTTGCAACGATTGGGATGCAGTTCAGTAGATGATTCATTGGAAAAATCAACCTTCTGCCACTTTTCCACTGTCCATCCTTCCTGCAAGCTGTGGGCCTTGGCAAATGCAAGGCAATTTTTTTGTTGTCTTCTGTTTAATGGTTTCTGAGCACTAATTCGGCCTTTGAGACCACTGCGTGAGAAAATTCGACAAACTGTTCTTGTAGATACAGGGGTTTCTGGTGACTAGTATTTATGTAGCTATGCTGCAGTTGAAGCAACAAATGGTCCTCTCGAACAGTTGTCTTACGGGGTCTGCCTGACCTGGGCCTGTCATGAACTTCACCAGTTTCTTCAAAGCTTTTTCTTATCCTCTCCACTTGACGTTTGAAAGATTAAAGATGTTTGACACCTCAGCAGGAGACTTGGTCTTCAGGCTCTTGATGATCAGCACTTTGGTCGGTGGTTGAATCTTTGGCATGCTGTCAGGTTGCATTTCAAATGAAGGTTGGGTGTGCTGGGGTTCTTATACACACCTGGGAATGTGTTAATTAAAGTATGTCACCGGTGATGCTCTAATCTATGATTGGTTGAATCCTTTAAAGATACGGCAAGACTTTTGTCCTTGCATAAACAGATGTTATGGGCTTTATCAAGCTGTGAATATCAGGACACTTTTTGATGGTTTCATTTTGCACCCAGTTATTAATGTGAATGCCCTTGACATTAAAATTAATTTATTGTGACAACTGAATGATTAGAAATAACGTTATATGACATTTTAGGTTACTATGTTCTTATAGGACAAGACTTTTGTCAGGGAGTGTAGTTTCAAGCATTGCTGTGTGATAATTTGGTGCTACATGGGTTTGAATGGCATCTTTCTCACCTTGAAAATGAACCAAAATAAAGGGGAGATGCTCCAAAACTTAGTTCAACCAATGCCAACGTGCTTGGCGTGAAAGCACACTTAATGTTATTAAACCATCATTAGCTCAAGTCATCAACAGATCTGCCATCATTTCATTCCCATTTCATTTCCTCCAACTCGCAGGGAAACAACAGGATCAGTTCCATTACTATAATTTGTAGCTTAGCCACAGAATGACAATTAGCTCCTGTAGTACTGATGCACTGACAGATCCTAATGAAAGCCAATTAGCACTGCAACAGAAATGCCACACCTTTAGAATTATAAAGAAAATGGTTTCCTTATAAGTCAAGATGTGTTTCCTATACAAGAAGCACCATGGATACTGTTTACATAGTATTTTTGGGAGGGCATCTCTTGGGCGGGGGTGGGGCGGTTATTTTGATCCACTCAGGCAACCGCATTCTGAGCAGCGTGGTGACAGCATCTGTCAGCAAGGGGTTACCAGGCTACATAGTAGATATGATCTGTGGTGTACATCCAAGACCACCACACACACATCCAACACTGAAAACTCAATAAGGAGGATTCCTGTAGTGTACATGTCAGTGGTGTTTCCTGACCATATTACCCAAAAGACTAGGTTTGCAAATCCAAAGAAAACAACTGGTCCTAACCAGCCAAGCAATGGCTACTCTGGACACATCATCATAGGTTGCAGACTTCTTTGATTTGGGATCCGCTTAACCAAGAGATGAGTGAGATTTCCTTCTCAGACTGTTTCATTTCTATAACTTTTAGAAACTCAAAGAGGTACAACTCCTCAGCATTTCTGATGAAAATGAAAACAATAAATTTGTGTAGCAAAAAAATATTTCCTTCCTCTTCACTATTTTCCTCTTCTATCTTGTAGTCTGATAATCAGCCCAAACTGCTGAGTGATGTCGCCATTCATCTGCCATCGTTTGCAGTTGGCACAGCGGCTGTTGTACAGTAGAGTTTCCTAGGATCGGTTAACGTTTTCCACATTGTGATGATTTAAGAACTTGCATTTTTATAAGTGAACCTACAACAACTTATACAGCTGCATCAGTCTCATTCGCACCCATCTCCATTTTACAAGCAGGCACAAGTGACATGTACCATTTCATGTGTCAAACTTAAATGAAATTCAAACCACACCCATATGGCACAAACTGGCACAGTGCCAGTAGAGTTTTGGAGTGCACCCTTTAGGAAGATGACTTCCCTATTCTTAATCCTGGCTACTAAGCTCTGATAGGTTAACTGTTTCTTTAACCAATGAAAACTGCTATAAAATGGGCACAAAACTAGACCGCTCTGAAGAGTTGAACAAATCTGACATGTCTGGCAGTCATACAGAGGTCTATAACAAGATCATCATTGTGGAACCATTCAGATTTATCCTGCAGCCCCATTTGGAGTTATTCACACTGTTTAAAAGAAAAAGGATCCCTTGTGCACCAGGAATTCAGACAATGTAAAAACATTATTGCATTTTGTTGGAAAATATTTCTCAAAAATGATTTTCCATAAGTTGCATGATCAACATGGACTCTGCAATACACTGCATAACACCTGAGAAACAGCAAGAATTCTGGCTCTCAAAGACCTGTTACTGTGCCTTGAAAAAGTCCACCTCTACTCCACTCATTAATCTAAATTAGTAGCACCTGTCTGAGCTCTTTAAAGACACCTGTCCACCCCACAGTCAGTCAGACGCCAACTACTACCATGGGCAAGACCAAAGAGCTGTCAAAAGACACCAGAGACAAAATTGTGGACCTCCACAAGGCTGGAAAGGGCTACGGGGCAATTGCCAAGCAGCTTGGTGAAAATAGATCAACTGTTGGAGCAATTGTTAGAAAATGGAAGAGGCTAAAGACGACTGTCAATCTCCCTCGGACTGGGGCGCCATGCAAGATCTCACCTCGTGGGGTATCACTGATGATAAGAAAGGTGAGGAATCAGCCCAGAACTACAAGGGAGGAGCTGGTCAATGACATGAAGAGAGCTGGGACCACAGTTTCAAAGGTCACTGTCGGTAGAACACTACGCCGTCATGGTTTCAAATCATGCATTGCACAGAAGGTTCCCCTGCTCAAGTCATCACATGTCCAGGCCCATCTGAAGTTTGCCAAAGACCATCTGGATGATCCAGAGGAGGCATGGGAGAAAGTCATGTGGTCAGATGAGACCAAAGTAGAACTTTTTGGTCTAAACTTCACTCATCGTGTTTGGAGGAAAAAGAAGGATGAGTTGCATCCCAAGAACACCATCCCTACTGTGAAGCATCGGGGTGGTAACATCATGCTTTGGGGGTGCTTTTCTGCGAAGGGGACAGGACGTCTGCACTGTATTAAGGAGAGGATGAATGGGGCCATTTATTGTGAGATTTTGAGCAACAACCTCCTTCCCTCAGCCAGAGCATTGAAGATGGGTCGTGGCTGGGTCTTCCAACATGACAACGACCCGAAGCA